GGGGGGGTAGGGGGGGGAGGTGGAAGTGTCCCTACTTCTTAAGAAGGAGCTGGTGAAATGGATGAGATGATTTCCCAGGGAAAAGGGTGGGATTGGAGAATCTCACACGAGCTGGCACCCCCACATTTATCAGCCCCTTCCCCAGGCCTTTGTCCTATGCCTGGGTCCCTGACCTCAGAGACCTTGCCTGATGGGGTGGGGGACCCGGAGGGGTGGAAGAAAACAAACTGAAGAAATGAATGTGAGTAACAAAAAGCCATGAGCAGTGGGAAGGCCCTTCCAGTGGCCAGTGCAGCCCCTCAGGAGGGGACATCTGAGCCTGCCCGGAGGGGCCATTGCCTTCAGCCTTCTCTGGTGTGTGTGTGCAGGTTTTATTTTTAAATAGGAAGTCAACTTTCTGGGTATTTTTTCTTGCTCCTCCCACCCAACTTCCTCTTATTATTATTTGCATTCTGGGAAGGAACTTGAAATTAATTTTAATAGTTGTGGAAGCCAGACATAATTGGGACGGTGAATTTTCAGAGGACGTGAGAAGAGCTCTCATAGCCTCATTCTAAGGCCCTAAAAGTCTGGAACTTTCCTTCCTTCGGGGTGGCCCAAGCCCCGTGTCAACAGATCATGAGGAAGGCTGCTCAGGGAGCAGGGGCAGGGGCTCTGGCACCTTTTGGGCCCTGTCTGAGTGATCATGCTTTTTTGTTAATTGATTTTTAGGATAGGATTTTCATTAACTACAATCACCCATTCTAATTGTACAGTTTGATGAGTTTAGAGGAACCGCCCCCTCCTCCCCCACCATAATCACTATCACAATCATGATACAACTATCGGAGCCCAGAAGTTCTGCTTGCTCTCTTGCATCTGTCCGGCCCCAGCCCCAGGCGTTGCTCACTTTCACTGTGTATTAGTTTTGCCCCTGTCTGGGGTTTTCAAAAGGTGAGCTGGCGAGTCTGTCACATCATGAGGTTTGTCTCTGGGCCAGCTGACTTCTCAAGGGGGGGTCGGCAGGAGCTTTTTTTGTTTGGCGCAAGTTGAAAAACTGCATTTTGAAGATTCCTCTTTTCCCTGTGGCGGAGGGCAGAGATGGGCCTCTGAGCCATGACATCTTGCTTCTCTTTTCTAAAACGGCCCAAAGTCTAAGACTGAACAGAAGCAGGTTGAAATACTGTCATTGACTCTGAGCGCCCTGGAGGGGGTGCTGGCTGCCCAGGCCCACTGTGGCAGGTGGGGACAGTGTGCTCTTTCATTGTGGAATAAGTTTTCTCCCACAATGGAGGGCATCGCCTGGGGTTGGATTACCTTATGGAAAATAGTTCCATTTAGAGGTCTTTCCCTGCAGTATGCTTATCATTCAAAATTGCAAAAAGAAAATAGACTAGCTAACCTACATCTAAGCATCTTGTTTAGGGGAGTCAGACATTAACCAGCTTCTTGAATGCTGTCTTGTCCATGCCTCTGGATTTAACTGGCATCTAAGGAGGTTGGGCCCGGCGTTTTCTCTTCGCTGTGGGGTCTGAGCCTTTGAGAAAGAGTCCTGAGCTCTCACAGGATGGCCTTTTGGGGAATTCTAAACTTTGTCCACTGGCAAGTCTGTTTCTGCACATCCAGTTGGTCCTTCCCCATGGAGTCAGCACCCTGAGTTGTCCTGGGTCACTTCAGGGGTTCTGTGGCTACCATGGGAACACACAGGGCTGCTTTCAGCCAGCATTCCAGAAGACTGCAGAAGTATGGGATGAATGGAGGCCTGGCAGAGGGCATGGTCCCCCTCGAGGGTCTCCGGCCTGGGGGTGCACTATCCCTGCATTTCATGCCAGCACAAAGGCAGGCCTCCATTTACAATTTACGCAGGTGTGCACCTCTGCCCTCCTGGTCCCCAGACCCTGCTGCTCTGAGGGTGAGGCAGATGCTCACTTTATTCCTCTCTCTCTTCTAGGTCCCCCTCCAGGCTCCATTTGATTTAATGGGCTTTTGAGGTTTCAAATGTGCCAGGCACTGGGCCAGCTGCCATGGCATGAATGTACCATACATGGGTTGTGGGTGGTACGGCGGGGAGAGGGCACAGGTCAGGGGCTGTAGCAGGCTCCAGGGAGACAGGAGCTGGCTCTGCACAAGAACAGTGTTAGACTTAAGACCTGCAGAGTGCAGGTCCTGAGCTGCCTGGGACCACGCGGTCCCAGCCCACCTGGGAGGCCCCTTGGAGATTTGTAGTGCGAGGCATGTGAGTGGCTCAGCGGTCTGCAGGAGGGCGGGTCGCACTGTGCAAAGCCAGGGTTCTGCAAGTGGGAACTCCTGTTGTTTACAGTCCTTACCGTCCTCTTGCAAAACTAGCAGTCAGCAGATCTTAGTACATAAAATGCTGATGTACGGGATTTGGCCCTTGTGGTGTTAGAAGCCAGGAGAAGGGCTATGTGAGGCCTTCAGCTAATATTTATAGGCTTGTGATTTTGTAGAGATGAAGAGGAGGGCGGGGGCCAGGGTGTGTGGACCCAGAGCCTCATGCATTCATGGAGTTAGTTCCCAAGGCCCATCCCTATTGGATGAAAACTATCAGAGATGTAGTAACATTGTATCAAAGATACAGCAACACTGTATTGGAGGTCTGGTAACACTGTATTGAAGACATAGTAATATTGTATCAGAGATGAGATGTAGTAACACTATGAGATGTGATATTGCGTTGAAGATGCAGTAACATTGTATCAGAGATATAATGACACTATCAGAGATGTAGTAACATTGTATCAGAGATGTACAAATACTGTATCAGAGAAGCATTTACACTGTATCTGAGATGTGCTAACATTGTATCAGAGATGTAGTGATACTATATTGGAGATGTGGTAACATTCTGCTACTAAAGACCATAGCTGTCAGTGGCACAGAGAAGTCAAAGCACACCTTTGCCACTTGAGCTTTTTTCTGTTACTTTGAAGTAGAGAAGGTGGTCCCTGTAGAGACCTTTGCTTGGACTTGGTGAAATATTGCACATTCTCTGTAATGTGTGTCTCCCGGGGAGTGAGACATATATGCTGCAACCAAGGGAGAGCCGCTTCGACTAGCTTCTCTGGGCAGCAGGCCCCATACCTGTCAGGTGGGCTGTCCCAGTCGTTTGTAGTAGAAAAGGCTGTGCCAACCCCCATTCTCGGTCAGGGGAGGAAACTCTCTCATGACATCCTGCCAGCACAGACTATTGGTATTTTAGGTGGAAAACACTTAACCAGTTTGATAAGTTAAAAACGGTATCTTTCTATTTTAATTAGCTTTTAAAAATTACTAATGATATTAAAGTTTGTTTCATATTTATTTTGTCCCCCGGGTGCTCTGGGTTGGCTGGTGGGGCGCTGGCATGGGGCGCCCTGTGAATGTGTGGTGTCTCCCCAGGTTTGGGCGGCATTTCGAGTCCCCGCTCCTCTGGCAGAGCATCGTCATGATCCTCGCCATGTTGGTGATGCTGAAGCTCTGCACCGAAGTCCGCGTGGCCAACGAGCTGAACGTCAAACGCCGTCTTTTTGCAGGTTGGTGACAGCAACGTGGGGGTGAGGCCACTAAGTCTGCCAGCACCGTGTGCCTCGTGTCTGTGAATGCAGCGAGAGCTGCTCCAGTCTACATAGTCTGAGCAGCTCGCTTCCTGGGAGGACGGCTGTCTGTGACAGACGGCAGTGTCCTCAGTACGCCAGCCAACCTCAAACGTGGTACAACGTGAGGCAATCTGAGCCAGTCGTGCTGCCACTGGAGTTTGGGCCAGTTACTGACTGATCTCAGCGTTAGGGCTCTTCACCTGATCTCACTACACGCGGGTTCTGGATCAGGACAGGAGGCCCGTTGCTCTGGTCCCCTCTCCGGCTTAATCCAGTCTGAGAAAGACACTGCCTGAGGGGGCAGCTCGATCTGACTGTGTGCGGTGGACAGAAACCCATTGCCCGTTGGCCCAGTTAATGGTACTTTGTCACATGCCTGGTTAAAAATACTCCTGAAGCCATGCTGTGTGCCCCCAGCTGTGTGCCCGCCTGCCTGGAGTGGGCAGGACAGACCACACGCTCAGCCTGTGCATGCCTTGAGATTTGGTGGCTCACGAAATAGAAAATGCTTCTCGCTGGTTTTGCCCTCTCCTTTGGAAAGCTCCCTCCAAGCTGAGGCTCTGGGTTTGACAGGTCAGGGGCGGGCGTCTAGCATGCAGGCGGATTTTCTTCTAATGACTAAATCCCAGACAGCTCTCATCTGGATTTTGTCTGCGGTGTCAGGTGTTGCTGAGAGAGCGTTTTCTGCTCAGTGTGTTCAGCTGCGGGACTCCGGTGGACTGGCGGTCTTGCCCTGTGTTTTCGTTCCTGACGGTTATCTCCTTCCCTCTGCGTAGCTTCTGTTTTTTGAGTGAGAGGAATGTCTGCTAATTTCTGTCTTTGGAGAATGTAGGTCAGCCTCCAGCTCTGATGCGGAACCTGGATCAATCAGTGTCACTTAAACTGTGAAGTGACCACCCTGCTCCTGGCGAGTTTTGTTCTTTGTTCCTGTTGCGGCCGTCTCTCGCCTGCCTGTGGATCTGTTCCTGTCCCCCTGTCCTGACTGGGGACACCACAGGGGCGCTGGTACTAGTGTTGCTGGTCTTACCTAGGAAGCAGGACCCTTATTGAAGGGAGGTGCCGGCCCTTGTGTTTTCCTGGGGTGAGGGCTTTCTGCTCCGGCTGCCACCCTGTCTGTGCCCTGTGCCCCTTTGAACCTCACATTGACTTTCGCACAGGCGCTCCCGGCCGACTGCAGAAGGGCATTCACCCTTGGCCGGGAGAGGACGCTTAGGCCACAGCTCTGAAACAGGAGACCAGGTTTTGTGACCTTGTTTGAGGTGGGGCGTGGGCTCTGATGATGTTGGCTGCCAACACAGCAGGCGTTGCCAGGCCATGCAGCATCTGACAGTTTAACATATTTGTGATCTCGTTGAAATGCAGGCGTGCCTCCCCTCGCTCGGGGCTTCCTGGCACATCTTCAGGGTGGTGCAGATGGGGACGATGTCAGTGGGGTCCGTGAGCAGGATGTGGGGCCTCGGGAGCCTCTCAGGAGGGTACCGGATAAAGAGCGTGGGATGGTGGATGTCTGATCATTTTTTCTCGACTTGCAGTGCTCTGTGAATTCTTCCAGAAGGCGTGTTTCTGTTCTGTTAAGTTCACTTGACTTAAAATAGTGAATCTCCAGTAATAGGTCTGGAGTCTGAAGTTTAACAAGTGACCTTCCTGTTGTGAGCACATTAGCAGCCCCCCCATGTCCACGCCTGGGGACCTGTGATGTGTCACCTCCTGTGGCAAAGGAGCTTTGCAGATGTGATGAAGGTTGGAACCTTGAGGGAGTGGCCCGATGTTGTCACAGGCCTCTCAGAGTGGAAGAGGAAAGGAGACAGCTGGTCAGAGACACGGAGGTCTCCACTGTGTTGCTGGCTTTGAAGGTAGGTGGGGCCTGCTCCTGACACTGGATGGCCATCAGCTTACAGCCAGCAAGGACGTGGGAACCTCAGTCCTCCAGCCGCAAGGAACCATTCTGCCAACAAGTTGAATGAGAAGGAACCTGCAGTTTGGGCAGAGCTTGGCAGGGAAGCCCTGACAGCCAGCCATTCACGGGTCCCTCTCTTCCCCTCTCTCTCCTCCTCTCTCTCACTCACTCACCCACTCCTTGCACATCTGTCTGGGTTGGTGCTGGCTGTCAGTGGGGACATCAGTGGACCTCTGCTGGGACATCCACACGTGGTCTCCTCTTGTGGCCTGGCGTCCTCACAACACGACCCAAGCTTCAAGGGCGCATCAGAGAGAACTGGGTGGACGCTGCGTCTTTTTAAAGATCTAGTCTGGGAATCATACAGCTTCACTTCTGCAGACAGCAGTGGCCACAGGCCCATCCACAGTCAGGAGGACATGGGTGCCGCCTCTTCGTGGGGCGCAGTGAGGTTCTGAGGGGAAGGTGGGCCTGGCCTGGAGTGTGTTCAGCCCAGACCCGTGGAACGACATCATTGGTCATTGCTGAGGACATTTCTGATGTCTCTCCTCCAGGCTGGCCCACACAGAGCTGCTTTTCTAACACACAGGTCCGATCAGGTTGCTTTCCAGCCAGGAAGCCTGAGGGCACAGGAGGAGTCCGGCAGGGCTGTGTGTGCCCCTTCCGCCCCGAGCCCTGTCCACTCACCAGCCTACTGCCTGTGCCACTGTGCTTGTCCTGCGCCCACACTGTCCTGTGCTGCCACACCCTGACGTTCTTCACACCGAGTGGCACGGTCTGGCCCGGAGGGAAGGGGTGCGGTGTGTTGGCATTGAGCTTCAAGCAGCTGAGCCGAGCCCTCCCCTGCACCCCCTCCCCCAGGCTGTTCCTCTCTCCCCGTTTTGGGACCTTGATCTTTAGAGGAGGTGCCAATGAATGGTGATATTGGTCTAAGTTAGAGAAATAGAAGCAGAACACTGAGAAATCCTCCTGACTCTGGCGAGGCAGAGCCCTGAAGACCAGGGTGGTGCTGAAGACGGAGGCAGGAGAGGGGACACCAGTGTGTGTGGGGCCGCTGCTCACGAAACCCTCGCACTGCCGCCCCCAGTCCTGGTAACTGGTCTGGTGTTTGCTGTTCGCTGTCCACTGCAAATTTCCATTTTTAGGTAGAGTCTCCATTGCTCGGGGCATGACACAACCTTTGATCCCACCTCTGCTGTCTGATCACAGTGACTCATTGAGTCTCACTCTTCTGGTAACCATCTGCCACTAGGGACCCCCCCTGCGGACGCTCTGGCCGTGAAGTCCAGGGTCTTGGGCTGCTGTCCCAGAGCGGGCACAGTAGGGAGGTCTCAGGTGGGGGTGGCCTCAGAGTTGAATCATGGCCGCTAAGTCAGGTGATCCTGGGCTGGGTCTCCTTCGTGCGACGTGGCATCGTCTCCGTGCTTTCCATGTGCTGTGTTTTCCAGCTCTCCTCTCACTGTGCATTTCGTGCATTTCGTGGCCGCCTCAAGCAGCCCCTGCAGGGTTTTGACCCTGGGACTGGATCGCAGCTGAAGCTTGCACACAGATGGGTTTCCGGGGCAAAGCAGAAACAGTCCACTGTATCTCTTTCTGTCAGTTCTGTGGACGTGTGGTGGGCTTTATGCCACCTCTGACCTTAGAAGTTAAATGAAAATGTGGTGACTTCTCACTTTTGGCCCCAAATTTCCTCCCCTTACTCTAAATACTTATTTTGGAAGGGGGTAGGTTTGGTGCAAAATAGTTCAAAAGTGGATTTCCTAATGCACAGAAACCAAAATCTTGTGGTCTTTCTGTTTCAGTTTTTTTTTTAAAAAAAGAAATGCAAAAAGGGCTGGGAGACCCCGCTGCTTCTCAGTGTTAAAACCCATCTGTTTTGTCTTTTCTTCCATTCTGTTTCTGTCTCTTTTTAAATGTAGCTGCAGATAAGGATGAAGAAATCAAAGTCGCCCCCAGGCGGTCATATCTGGGTATGTACCACACTGCATGCGGGCAGCCACTGGGACATCGGTTCCGTTTCATTGCAGCTGTGTCTCTCTGTGTCATCACTTTCATCTGTGCTTGCATCTTGACATGCACGTGACTCATTTTACCAAGTGTGGCCGCCACTCTGGCAAACTAACCCACCAGAGCCTGCCGTTGTCCTGCAGGAGGAGTCCCTGTGTCTGAGAGAGAGGGAGGGAAAAAGGACGAAGAAAATGGTCAGAGTACAAGCTTTGGAGTGCTCTTGTTAAACTTATCCTGAAGTATTCTTTTTGATGCTGTGGTAAATGGAATTGTTTTCTTACTTTCATTTTGGACTGTTCATTGCTACTTTGTGGAAATCACATTGATTTTCACATATTGATCTTGTATCCTGCAGCTCTGATGAACTCATTTATTAGTTCTGATAGCTTTTCAGTGGATGCTTGAGGATTTTCGATGTACAAGATGATGTCATCTGCAAACAGACATTTATTTCTTTCCTTTCCAATCTGGAAGCCTTTTCTTTTTCTTGCCTAACTCCCCTGCCTGGAAGTGCTGGGAGTGGATATGCTTGTCTCGTTCCTGGTCTTAGGAACAAGACATTTAATCTTTCACCGCTGAGCGGGGTGGGTTTCACATAGATGCTCTGTAGCCTGAGCTTGTTGAGTGTTTTCATCATGAAAGGATGTTGACGTTTGTCAAATGCTTTCCTGTGTCAGTGGAGATGACCCTGTGGTTTTTGTGCTTTAGTCTATTATTATACTGTCTCCCATTGATTGATTTTTGTATGTTGTGCCAAGCTGGCAATCTTGGGATAAACCCCCTCGGATCACGATGTATGACCCTTTTCAGAAACTGCTAGATTCCATGTCGTATCAGACTAGCACTGGTCTTCCTTATAAAACAAGTTGGGAGTGGGACGTGTTCCCTCCTCTGCTATGTTTTTGAAGACTTTGTAAAGGATTGGTATCAACTATTAATTAAAAATAAATTGAGATAGATGTGATATACAACATTGTGTAGATGTAAGGTTTACATGTTAATTTGATACATTTACATGTTGCAATATTTGCCATTGTAGCAATAATTAATACCTCTCACATTACATAATTGTTTCTTTTTAGTGTTTGGAATAATTGATTTTAGTCTCTTAGCAAGTTTGATGACTATAACCCAATATTGTTGTCTCTGGTTGCTGTGTAGTACAGTGCAGCTCTAGGGCCTGTTTACCACCCATGCAAGTTTATCAGTTCCTTAAATGTTTGGTGGGACGTTTTTATTTTTTTAAGATTTTATTGGGGAATCGGGGGGATGGAACAGCGTTGGGGAATCGGGGAAGAGGCACAGAGAAGTTGCTGTCCTTTCGTTCTTCAGTCTAGTTGTGGAGGACGTCGCTTCACTGGCCCATGTTGGTATTATCATTGCACTCTTCCCGGGTGAGGCTGTCGCTTGCCGGCCATTGGACGGCCGCTCACAGCAGCTCATGGCAGCTGCCTACCAGCCCCACTGCAGCCTACGCCGTTGCTGGCGACTCACAGCAGCTCAGCTTCAGATCGAGGTGTTGTTCACCATCTTAGCTGTAGAGGGCGCAGCGTCACTGGCCCATGTGGGATCCGAACCGGGGCCCTGCTGTTCAGCACTCACGCTCTCAAGCCAACTCTTAACCAACGAACCACTTGGCCGGCCCTGGTGGGAAGTTTTTAAATTACTAATTCAATCTCTTGTTATAAGTCTGCCCAGGTTTTCAATTTCTTCCTGAGTTGGTATTCATAGTTTCTTTTTTGGAATTTGTCCATTTAATCTGTTTCCTCATTTGTTGAATTACAGTTGTTCTTAGTATTCCCTTATAATACTTTTTATTCCCATAGGTTGGTAGTGATGGTCCCTCTTTCATTGTTGATTTTAGTAATTTGAGTCTCCTCTCCTTTTTCTTTTGGTCATTCTAGCTAAAGGCTTGCAAATTTTATTGATTTTCTTTCAAAGAACCAACTTTTTTTTTAATGATTTTTTTTTTTAATTAAAAAAAATTTTTTTTAATTGGGAACAGCCATGGTCATTGGCTGCACATTGCTTTCATGCTACAATGGCATAGTTGACTCTTTTAGGGAGGGCACAGCTCACAGTGGCCCATGTAGGGATCGAACCGGCAACCTTGGTGTTATGAGCACCACGCTCTAACCAGCTGAGCTAACCAGTCACCCTTCAAAGAACCAACTTTTGGTGTTGACTTTTCTCTCTGACTTCACGCTTAATGATTCCCAGACACGCTAGTCTCTCCTTCCTGAAAGCAGGGACGTGCACCACTGGCGACATCCTGGCCAGAGTAGGGGACACATCCTGGCGTGACCCCAGCATGTGTCACCCGCTTCTCCTAAGTGGGAAAGGATCCCGTCAGAATCGCCTTGCATTTCCCGTCTGCAGGAGCCGCTCTCTGACACACGCGCGCGCCAAGGGTCAAGCCCAGGCTGGTTGTCCTGGGTTCCTGGGCTGCTTTCCTGTCCCAGCGCCTCCAGCCCCCAGCTCCCGCCTCCGCTTGTGATCAGTCCATTTCTAGGAGACATTTGAAAATATATACAGCGCCGTCCTCCTCAGATTTTTACTGCATTCCCGTGTGTAATGTCAGCAGCAAGTACACAGGGCTGCCTGCCTCATTCAGTGAATAAACGTACTTATTCTGACCCTGAGTCTGGTTGGCCTTCAGGTGGGTCCCCGTGTCCTGTCACCACGGGATGGTCCAGGCGCCTGGTGCAGCCGCCGCTGGCCGTGGGAGGAGGCGTGACTGCAGATTGGAGGGAGGATGGTGACCTTGACGGAGCCTGGGGGCCGCCGCGCCATGTGGGAGAGTGTGTGGAGGGCGGGGCCAGCGCCAGTCCCCGGGCCTCACTGGGTTTGGTTCTTCGGAACTGGGCCCAGTGAGACCAGCAGTTGGTGAGCTCTCATCCCAGAGAAAGGTAACCTCGCCGATGGAGCTATGTCCAGGGGAGCCCAGCCACAGGTGGGAGACAGACAGGTGTGGCCCCAGGTGACGTTGCGCACTCAGCACGCGTCAGGCTCTGTTGTGTCTCACGTGAAATTGCCGATGTAATTCTCGCGTCGGCCTTGCGGAGGGGACTGTGATCTCCCCTGCTTTACGGACGAGGAAGCTGGGGCACAGAGAGGTTGGGTCACTAGGCAGATGGCCACACAGCAGTAAGCGGCAGGCGGGGGCCCCAGAACCTTTGTTAATGCCAGGCCTATGTCTCACCTGGCCCGCTGGGGTGGGCTCTCACTGCAGGCACAGGGGTGACCCCTCCTGGGCCTGGATGTCAACTCCCCTGCTGTTCTGCCAGCTGCGCCCCTTCCCCACTTCCTTGGGGACCCAAGGGGCAGCCATGCCTCCTATCCCCCATGTCAGCCCCTGGCTCCTCGCTGAGCCCACGTCACTGTGCACTGTGCTTGCCATGGACCCTGGGGTGGTGGTCTTTTCAGGAACCCCCTGGGAATTCTCAGCTGCCCCTGGAAGGGGACTGGAGCTTGAGGCCCACAGGCAGTGTCTGTGAGAGACCCGGTCGGCTGGGTGGCCTGAGCCCTCTGTGTTCTCGGTGCCTCCTGGGTCTTCTGAGGATGGGGCCATCCCCAGGGTGGTCTCGCCCCTGAAGGTGGGGCTCGTGGAGGCCCCGTGGCTGTCCGTGTGGTCGCCTCAGGGTCCACACCACACCGCTGTCCCCAGTGGGTTTTGGTTGCCAGCGTGGCCACTGTGAGCTGCCACTGGGGGGAGCCAGCAGTCCTCTGATGGGTGCGGGGTTGGCAGGGAGCCCGGGCGGGTGGGGGCGGAGGGTGGTTCTCTTGCTGCTTTGGGAGCGGGACAACCACACGGGGGTGCTGGCAAGCTCGCTGGTCAGAGGGTTTCCTGAAAATTGCGGGAGCCAGAGCCCAGCGGTTACATAACTGTGTGTGGTCAGTGGGGTCTCGGTTGGAGTTTAATAAGGATGCATGGCCGGAAATGACCCACCAGGCCAGGACCTGCTGCTGCTGGACATGGCTTTCTTCTGTCCCCGCTGAGGGGTGGCTGGGGCTCTGTCACTCTTGCCTGCCTGGGGTGACGCTGAGCTGAGAGACGCTGGTCCTCGGTTCACCAGCACTTATATCCAGTTGCTTGCTGTTTTAAACCCCCCCTCCCCCCCCGCCGGCCATGGTGACAGTGGCAGAGCTGGGCTCGCACAGCACAGCATCGCCAGCGCCCTCCCAGCATCGGTGAGGTCGGCCACTGCGTGCCCGGTGTCCCTCAGAGCAGAGGTGTGGGGCGGGGCTGCGAGGATGGGGTGCTCCCGTGGTCCAGCTGTTCTGAGTAAGGCTATGAACACAGGTGTGCAGATGTCTGTTTGACACTTTGCCTTCGACTCTTTGGGGTGTATGCCCGGAGGTGGGGTGGCTGCATTGTAAGGAAGTCCTGTGTTTGATTTTTTGAGGAGCCTCCACACTGATTTCCACAGCGGCTGCACCCGTTTGCAATCCCACCAACAGCGCTCAAGGTTCCAGCTTCTCTGCATCCTCTCCAACATTTATCTCTTGTCTTCGTGATGACAGTCACTCTGAGAGGTGGGAGGTGACATCTCATTGTGGATTTGTGTTTTCCTGATGATTGGTGATGTTGAGTGTCTTTTTATGCACCTGTTGGCTGTTTGTACATCTTCTTTGAAAAAATGTCTATTTAAGTCCTTGGCCTGTTTTTAAATTGGATTTTTTTCTTGCTGTTGAGCTGTATGAGTTCTGTGTATATTTTGGACATTAGCCCCCCTGAGAGAGCTTCTCTCTCTGTAGGCTGCCTCTCGTTTTGCTGACTTTCTTTGGCAGAAGCTTTTTGGTTTGATGTTGTCCCACTTGTTTATCTTTGCTTTCGGTGCTTGTGCTTTTGGTGACAAATTTAAAAAAATCGTTGCCAAGACCCATGTCAAGGAACTTTTCCCCTAGAAACACAGTTGTTCAAAATTTTGATGAAGTCCAATTTATCTATTTTTTTCTTTTGTTGTCTGTGCTTTTGCTGTCACATCTAAGAAAGTAGTGGCAAATCCAGCGTCTGAACCTCCCTGTATTTTTTTTCGAAGAGTTTTATAATCTCTTCCATTTAGGTCTTTGATCTACGTTGAGATAATTTGTGTATATGGTCATATAAGGGTCCAACCTCAGTCTTTTCCTAGCAACTTTTTAATAAGGGTTTTCTGTTAGTTGTTTGCCTCTTGACTTGCTCCTTGAGAACCTAAAATAGAGAGGCTTTCTACAGACAGACCTCAGACCCAGTTTCCTAATGTCCCAGACCCTCACCTGCTGTCCTCAGCTCTCCTGTCCACAGTCCACTCAGTCCTGGCTCGAGTTCCTCAACTCAGACCATACTCTCCACTCCACAGACACAGAGGCGGGGACGTCAGCCGGGTCTGAGATTCTTCCTCTTGCCCCTCGTGACCTCTGTCTGGAATCCGTCTGGTTTTGCCCCCAGTTCTGTGTCCCCGGCTCCCCCAGCACACTCGGGACGCCCCCCTGCTGCACCTGGGGCTTCTTTACCCTGCCATGCTCTGCTGTGACCTCAGACCCGCAGACCGCGCGTCCACCCCTTCTCCAGCCCCCTGCCTGCACTCTCCCTTTCTAGCTCAGAAGCCTGGCAGTGTTCTCACATGGGCGAGGGAGTGGAGCTGCTGGGGGGACCCAGATCTGGGGGCTGGGAGGACAGGGTGTGTGTGTGCGCAGGTTAGACACCCACCCCCCAGCACTTCCCAGCTCCCCGGATGCCAGTACTGATACCTCATACGCTTGCCCACACCTGTAACCCTTGCTGGGCCTTTTTCCTGATGGGGTGCCCTGGCTCCAGACCCTGCCAGCCTAAGGGCTGGGTCAGGGTCAAGTGCATCACACCCCTCCATTTCCCTGACCTTCCCCGAAGCTGCCTCTGTCCCCAGGAGCTGCCATGTTCATCTGCCAAAGCCTGTGCACTTCCTGTAATGTGCTGATTTCTGTGAGTGCCTATGAATTTGGTTTCTGCAGGACATCTGTGGACAAACGATGATATTCTGTCAACTAAGGGTATAGTGGTAGTAATTATATACTTTTACAGGGCCCTTACCATGCATGGGATTCTTTATAAGATTCATAAGATTCACTAATTTAGCCATTAAAACATTAACATTATTCCTCTTTTGCATCTAAAGAAATGGAGAAATTAACAATCTAAAGTTGTGGAGGGAGGTGTGGGGGTTCTGACCCAGGAAAGAGATTCCAGAGGTTCTGGTATGATCTTGCACGATGCTAATTATCAGTACTGTTTTAGGATGATGGAAGGGTTTAGCATCCTTTATGTTAATATCTGTATCCAGGTTCCCTCAAAAGTGCCTTGGCTGACAGCAGCTGGAGCCCCACAGCTCACAGCCGCCGTCCTCACACTGACCTTGACCTCCTTAACCAGTTCACATCTCTCTTCACACTGACCTTGACCTCTTCACTCAATGTCCCTGTCCTTACACTGACCTTGACCTCGAGACACAGTTCACATGTCACTCTTCACACTGACTTTGACCTGCACATCTAGTTCATGTCTGTCTCCCTCTTGCCCTAGACTTCGACCCTCATCACTTCTGGCACTGGAGCAGCTTTGCGGACTACGTGCAGTGTGTCCTGGCCTTCACGGGCATAGCAGGCTACATCACATACCTGTCCATCGATTCGTCCCTGTTTGTGGAGACCCTGGGCTTCCTGGCCGTGCTGACTGAGGCCATGCTGGGCGTGCCACAGCTGTACCGTAACCACCGCCACCAGTCCACCGAGGGCATGAGGTAGGCGGGCGCGTCGCTCCTGCCATGCCTGTTGGCACCGGTGTGCCCCCATGTGTTGGGTAAAAACCGTTGTACAAATCTGGCTGCTTTATGTCCCAGTTATGTTTGTAAAGCTGCCAGTTCCAGAGCAGGTCAGGTTTGACCACACGAGGCCTTTGGCAACCTGATGCACGAGCATCATCAGTGTAGGAGACACGGAGACCCCTCATGGAGCAGAACAGCGTCGGGTCGCTGTGCCTGGAGCCTGAGTGTCGGAGTGGGAGGGCGGTGCTGAGTGTGGGAGAGCCTGGGGCGCAGAGGTGTGCAGAGGCAGCCCGGTCTCGTTGTGGGGTGTCATGAGCTGGGCTGTCGGGATACATGCCCAGTACATCATGTTTTATTAAATTTACATCAAAGTATTTCATTTGCTTCTGAGCGATTGTAACTGGGATTGCATTTTTAATTTCATTTTCCATATGTTCATTGCTAGTATACAGAAATACATTAATATGTATGTTTACAAGTATCTAGTCACCTGGCTGAACACATTGGTTTTAGTTTTCTTGTAGATCCTGGGTTTTCTATGTGAACAATCATGTGTAAATAGGACAGTTTCATATCTTCCTTTCTGATGTGTATGCCTTTTACCTCCCTTTCTTGCCTTACTGCACTAAAGACCGTCCAGCACTATCTGAGTAAGAGCAGTGGCAGTGGACTAGCTGCTGGTTTCTCGTCGTCAGGAGAATGCATCCAGTGTTTCATTGTCAGGCATAATGCTAAGTGCAGAAAGTTCTCTATTCCTGTTTTTTTCTGAAAGTTTTTATATTAAAGGAGTGTTGGATTTTGTGAAATGCTTTTCCTGCATTGACTGATATGATTGTGTGATTTTTCTTCTTTAGCCAATGATAATTACATTGATGATTTTCAAATGTTGAACCAGTCTCGCTTCCCTGGAATAAAGCTCACTTAGCCATGGTGTGTATGTATGTATGTATGCTTGTATAAATAAATAAATATAAACAAATAGCTGAATTCTACTTGCTAATATTTTAAGGATTTTTGTGTCTGATTTATGAGGGATATTGGTCTGCAGTTTTTCTTTTTTTTTTTTAATCTTTGGCTTTGGTATTAAGGTAACACTAGCTTCATAAAATGAATTGACAAGCCTTCTATTTTCTGGAAGAGATGGTGCAGAATTGGTGTTAACGCTTTAAGCATTTACTATAATTCTGTGATGAAACCATTTGAAACTGGATATTTCTTTTTTGGGAGAGTTTAAATTATGGATTCAATTTCCTTAATAGTTACAGGGTTATTCAAATGATCTCTTTCATATTGGGTGAGCTGTGGTAGGTTGGGCTTTTTGAGGAACTGGTACATTTAATCTATGTTGCCAAATTTAAGTGTGTGGGGTTAGTTGTTCATGTTCTTGTTTTTTGATATTCGCAGGGTCTGTAGTGATATCTCCTGTTCCATTACTGGTAATTTATATATTCTCTCTTCTAGAAGTTTATCAATTTACTGATCTTTTCAAAGAATCAGCTCTTTGTTTTGTTGATTTTTCTGTCTTAAATTTCATTGATATTTGTTCTTATCTTAATTTAGATGATTAATATAACTTTCTTTTTCCTAATGTAAGCATTCAGTGCTATATCCTCCTAGTACTGCTTCAGTTGTGTCTCACACATTTTGATGTTTTATTTTCATAACTATGCATGTTTATTTCCTAAGACTTTCCCTTTGACCTACAGATTATTTAAAAGTGTGTTGTATTATTGTGTTTAGAGATATTCCCCCATGTATTTAGAGGTATTCTTTTTATCTTTCCATTACTTATTTCTAATTTGATTCCATTATGTTTAGAGTACTCACTCTGTATGGTTGCAATTCTCTTAAATTTGCTGGAATTTGTCGTATGGCTCAGAATATGGTCTGTCTTGGTATGTGTTCCATGGATACTTATAAAGAATATGTATTCTGCTATTGTTGAGTGGAATGTTTTCTAAATATGTATTAGATTCTTTGTGCTTATGATGTTGTTTCTGTTTTGCTGCTTTCTTGCCTAGTTTTTCTATCAATCGTTGAGAGAGGGTTGCTGAAGTCTCCAACTATAATTGTGGACTTGTCTATTTCTAGTTTTAGTTCTAATACTTTTTAGTTCACGTATTTGGTAGCTTTGCCAAGGGTGAATACACATTTAGAATTACTATGTCTTCTTGGTAGATTGGCCCTTTATCATTATATTAGTTCCTCTCTATCTCTAGTAATTTTCTTTGCTCTGAAATATGCTCTAATATTAATATAGCCATTGCTGCCTTGATTAATAGTATATCTGTTTTCATTCTTTTACTTTCAACCTGCCTATATCATTATATTGGAAGTGAGTTTCTTATAGATAGTGTAGAGTTGGATCATGTTTTTAAATTCACTTTACATCTTAGTCTTTTTTTTTTTTAAGATTTTTATTGGGGAATTGGGGGTATGGGAACAGCACTGGGGAATTAGGGAAGGGGAACAGACAAGTTGCTGTTGCTTTGTTCTTCAATCTAGTTGTGGAGGACGTTGCTTCACTGGCCCAAGTTGGCACCATCATTGCGCTCTTCCCTGGCGAGGCAGATCAGTCGCCGGCTTCTGGACGGCCGCTCACTGCGGCTGCTGGCCGCTCACGCTGGCTGCTGGCTACACACGGTAGCCCATGGCAACCCACTGCCACAGGGGCTGCAGCCTACGCCATCGCCGGCGACTCATTGCAGCCCAGCTCCAGGTTGAGCTGTTGTTCAGCATCTTAGCTGTGGAGGACAATGTCACTGGCCCTCATATGTGGGATCCGAACCAGGGCCCTCTGGCGTCCCAAGCCAGTTCTTAACCAACGCGCCACTTGGCTGGCCCTTCTACTCATATTTTGAACCACATTAGATAGTGTTATAATTTTTGCTTCAGTCAACATAATGCAGAAAACTGAAGAGAAACAAGAATGCCTATTGTACTTGCCCTTATTTTTGCTTATCTTGTTCTTCCTGCTCTCCCAAAATTCCTTCTTTTATTGTTTTCTTTCTCTTTTAGGGACATTTCTCCAGCCAATCTTGCAGGGTATATCAGTGGTGGCAGATTTTCTTACTTTTCCTTATCTGAGAATGTCTTGATATTTCTTTCATCTCTGAAGGATGTTTTTACTGGATGTAGGGCTCTGGGTTGATAGTTCTTTTAGCACTTGAAAAATGTGCCACTTCCTCTGGCCTCCATGGTCTCTGTTGAGAAATCCACTATCATTTTAATTTTTTTTTCTCCCTATAAGTAAGGTGTTATTCCTCTCTAGCCGCTTTTAAGATTTTTTTGTTTGTCTTTAGTTTTTAGAAGTTCAATTATGATGTGGGTTTTGGCATGGATTTCTCCTCTGTGGGATTCACTCAGCTTCTTGAATGTCTAGGGTTTTGTTCTTGCTAATTTGGGGGGAGTTTTCAGCCATTATTTGAGGACTGTTTTCAGCCCTGTCCTTCCCCACTCTGCTTCCAGGACTCTGGTGATATGAGTGTTAGATCATTTGTTATGATTAAACACATGTCCTCGAGGCACTGTCCCCCACCCGCCATATTCTCTCTGTTGTTCAGATCGCTGGTTTCCGTTGGCCGATCTTCCAGTTCGCTGGTTCTTTCTGCTGTCCCATTCAGTCTGCTCTGGAACGCGCTCATTCATTGACTTTTTCCTTTTGGTTATTGTATTTTTTCAATACAATAAAATTTCCATTTGGTTCTCCTTATATCTTCTGTTTTCTGGTGAAACTTTATGTTTCTTTGCTGAGACTTTCTATTTTTTTCATTTACTTCAAGCATATTTATAATTGCTCATTGAAGCCATTTTACAGTGGCTGCTTTAAAATCTTTTTTCCCCCCCTATCATCTCTGTCATCTCAGTTTTGGCATCTTCAGATTTTCTTTTTGAAATTATGTTTGAGACCTTCCTGGTTCTTGGTATAATGAATGATTTCAATCGAAACCTAGACATTCCCGTGTTACATGACTTCGGATCTTATGTAAACCTTCTGGTTTAGCTGGCTTTCTCTGACACTGCCCTGGCAGAGGGATTGGGGTGCCTGACGGGTGGAAGGCTAGTATTCCCACTCTGTTTTGCTATCATGAGTGATGGCAGGGCGACTGTATTTTCTGTGTCATTTGTCTGGAGAAGAGCTGTTATTGTCTAAAAGCTGCCTATTTTGCCAGGTGTCCCTTTCCTGGTCGCTTGGATAGAGAGAATGGCCCGTCCTTGCGGTTTTTTGGTCTCTGCCTGCCTGTTGGCATTTCTAGGTTGCTGGCTCCTTCGGCTCTGTATCTGGGATTCATGGGGCAAAGCAAAACAAAATTAAAAAATCAGGATTTTCCACAAGGGTTGGCCACTGTGTTGTTCCTTGGGTCCTGAGGTCCCTAGCTAGGGTGCCTTCTGTTCACCTTTGAGAATCTTGTGTATGATTATGTATAATGTCACGGACAGTTAAGTGTACTTTGTGGGAGGGAGATTGTATCTTCCAGGAAGCGTCTCCCCTGGTTATAACTAACCCTTTGTTTTTGTGCATGATGCGCTTATCTTTGGTGCAGAAAACATACATGCAGCTGTCTCTTAGGCTGGCCTTCTAATCTTCCTCTTATTAACTCTGACCACTATCTTCACAACCTCCAGAAGTGACCTTGCCCAGGTTCAGTGATGTTTGAATTTGGTGTCTCACCTGCTTGAATGAGGGCCTTGAAGGCAGGAACTATGTCCCATTCATTTCTCTCCCATCGTCTGATGAAGCGTTTAGAAATTACAGCAGTTCTGTAAATATTGAATGAACAAATGGAAGAATGAAATAGTTGACTCTGTAAATCACCTTTGGAGGATAGGAGAACACCTGGGGAGTTTAGAAATGTGGAAAATCTGCCAGTGTGGGCATCTGGCTGGTTGTCCTAATTCTTGGAGAATTTGCACTTGGCAGCAAAGGACCCAGAGGAGCCCCTCTGGGGGATGAGCTGTGGTAACTCACGCAGCAA